ATGGAGAACGTGCGGGAGCAAAACGAAATGAGATAAGATGGAAAAGAGCCGAATACATTTCAATATATATATTTCAATATATTATACAGTTTTATTGGGATATACAAGGTGTCCGGTAACTATACCGGGTGTTACCTCTCGTGGGTAGATAAAGTGGATTGAATTAATTGTGAAAGTAGAAATTTCTCTCAAAATTTATCCTGAAAATCATAACTATATGTAATAGTAATAATCGTATTTATATTGGAAGTAATATTCCCTGCTTTTTATTATGTATATACATTGCCTTCACTATGTTTATTGGTTACATCACTTTGCAACTCATAAAGAATAGTACAAGGAAGTATCTTTCAAAGAAAAGATAAGTAATCTCGTACGAATGTACGAACTTACCTGTATTTATAACACTCTATACGGTTTTCTTCTTACGGGAAAGTCTTATATCGCGCGTCCCTCCAGTGAGGACATTTCGAACCACTTCACTTTGGTTACCATGTGGTTAGTAAGGTGGATCATATAAATGTAGTTAAAATTTACTATTATTGTGAATGTATTTAAGTAAAAATAATTAACTAATTTACTATACATTACCTGCACTGAAAAAAATTTCTGGTTGAATATGGACGAATCAGATAATTCCTTTAGGATTTATCAGAATTCCTTTAGGATTTACCAGAATTCCTGTAATCCTACAGAAATTCTGGTAAATCCTAAAGGAATTATCTGATTCGTCCATATTCAACCAGAAATTTTTTTTAGTGTGGATATTTTAACAGAATAATAGTTGAAAGCTTATATTTTATAGTAAATTTTTTAAATAGTTGGCATCACTGTGTCTATATGGTTGCTATTACTAATATTATAGTAATAATTACTATAAAAATGATATTCCTAACTATAATTATTTTACTATGCAATTATAGTTTCAGATACTATAATACATATTTTTCTATCAGTGTGCTATTGCGTGCGACCGCGAAATTAATAAGACATTGTGCTGTCTGACGTGCAGTTATCTCGCTGCCACAATTACCTCCTATTCGTCTACCGATAATACACGATGAAAATTGATGAATATTGATGAATTTTACCTCCTAATGCGTTTCGCTGGCGCGTCCAGCTTGCGACGAATATTTATATCCCGCAATATCTTCGTTACGCTGTCACACGAATGAAATAAAGTTATTCGTATTTTACTGTATGCGCGCTCATAATTTTTCGGTTCTTTGACTCTGCTACTTTTTCTTCATATTTCATATCTTCCTCCACACTGATAGAAAAATATAGTTGAAATAACCATAATTTCA